TGAGTTCTTCCTCTAGATAGTAATTGGACATATTGCGCGATTTCGTCATATAAATGCACGTAGATGATTCTCAAATCTCTGTTTTCAAAATTTCGACATTTGCATTGGCGGAATGCAACGGAAATCCATTTTATGAATTTATTTCCATGAATAGGGTTGATCTTTCTTAGATTTACAATGACATGTTCACTTTTCCAATATGGAGAAATTCTTTGACGGCAAACTAACCATACTTCTCCGACTGCTCCTTGTGATGAGGTTAAAGAAATCATGGGCAATATCAATCAAACGACATCTTAGTTGGTAAGTGATTTATTCGGCCTCCCAATGTCTCAGTGTCTTTGTACATGGAACATATGAATGTCAGAGGTGTCACAGAACACCTTACAGCGTTCATGTCAATTTTTCTCAATAATGCGTTGTCAGAAGAATATCTAATCTGTGGAAATGTTGCAATTTGAAGAGTTTTCGAGCGGAGAAATTATTCACGTAATCATTGAATTGTCTTACCGAATTACACTCAAGCTTTTTTTGGTCTACATTCATAGTTCGAGTTTTGTTGCCTTAAATAAATTTGCCCTACGGCTTCTTGCAATAAGAGTCTTTTTCGAATGATACTATCATTTTTTTTTCAAATTATTGAACGATTTGATCCGGTCCCAATATTTTCTAGCATATGATGGAGAAATATAAAAATTAAATTTTCATCCAATGCTCGTTAATATTTTGAAAAGAAGGCAAACTATCAGACCATTTTTGAAGTGATAACTTCTATATGCCTGTTGGGCACTTTCTGTGATGGGAGTAAGACGGCAAACTCGCCTTTTCTTCAATAACACATAATATTTTTCACTTAGGACGACTGATTTAATCCATACGGTTTCATGAACTGAGTACATTTTCTTTTTCAGTCAATCCAATGTTGTATTAATTCTACCAATTTATTTATATAACACAAAATGTACCGTTTGTCAGTGAGACGAGTTTACATAGAAAAACACATTTTTGTTCGCTGTTCAAAAATGAGTGAAAAAACAAATTGGATGAAATTTGAAAAAAGTGCATTTTAGAGGATTACCCTTCTTTCGGGGATCAAAGAAACCCAAGAGAAATTGTGAAAGGGTTGAAACCACCCTCACCCCTCGACTTTTTTTTTAGAACATTTTAGGGGTGGTGATACGGTTCTCAAATTTGATGAGCGATATGACTGATGAATTATGTTCATTTTGTTGCTCAAGTGGAAATTTCGTATTTCGCATAATAATAATGCTAACAAATATTCCTAGTAAAAGTTTGATATAAATGTTATGAAAAATTTAGTTGACAGTGAAAACAGAGGCAAAACGTTTTTTTTTTCAAAATAATGTTCATCAATACAACTGTCAATTCCTTCGTTTCCACTGACAACTAATTTTGTATTACAATTTTATCGAACTACTTCACTACAGAAATATCTCACTACACACTGTTATAACACTAACCAAACCGATTTTTTACACCTCGACACGTGTTTCGCTAACTATGTTAGCATCTTCAGGAGAAGATTAAAACTTCACGTGTCGAGGTGTAAAAAATCGGTTTGATTAGTGGTGAAACAGTGTGTAGTGTATTATCGTGCCAAAGGTTTCAGTCTTCGATATATCGAAATATCTGTTAGCATTATTTAAAAAGACATGTTTTTCCTTCGGAACTATGCGAAATTGGAATTTGTCACATCTCGCTCAGAGAATTTGAGAACCCTATCACCACTTCTGAGAATGTTCTGAAAAAAAGTTCAGGGGGTGACGGTTGTTTCAACCTTTGTCCATTTTTTTTGGGTTTCTTTGATTAATGAAAGAAGGGTTACTCTCTAAAATGTGTTTTTTTTTACTTTGGACGCGCCTCACGGACAAACGGTACATTTTTTTTATAAATTAGTTGGGTCCAATCAACTTATTTTGAACTGTATAACACGTGGTAGTTCTATATCCAAGCAATTTTTGGACACCCTGTAGACGTACCTACCTATACCTTCCAACAATAGGGAAAGAAACAAATTTTCAATGGATCAATACTAAATTGATTACTTGGTTTTATTCTCTATTGATTTCAGTACAAGCATCACGACCTTCCTGTCAATAATATTGAGAAATGAGAACAGTGGATAATTTATGCAGAGAATTAGATATTTCAACTTAGCAACATTTTGTAAGCGCTAGTTGCTTCATCTCTGTCTCTTGTAAACATGGTTGCCATATTAGCAATTACATTTTCCGGGAATGAAAACTTGAGAGATAGTAATACTGTTTATTTTGTTGATTATAACAATTAGTCAACAAAATCATAACATCATTACTCAATAAAACCAAAGCATGTGAAAAGCGTTTCACTATTAAATGCCTGCATCACATTGTGTCCTAGCTAATCTTGAATAATAGTAAAATGAATGTGATCAGCAGTGAATTGCCAATAGACTAATAACCTACTACATAGTAATTTCGAATCATGGCATTTCTTGCACCATGTTTCACATAATATCAGTTCAAGGATTTCATAGAGACCTGGCAACAGCGGCGTGCTTCCCAGCGGTCACAAACTCCAACCAATCAAATTGCAAGGAGATACCGACATCACAGCTCAGAAGCATTTGAATTCACAGGTTTTGAAATAGCATTTTCGAAACTAAATAATTAATTTGTTATGGAAAAGGAATATTCTCAGATATGATTATGAACATAAAAAATGAAGAAGAAGAAATACATTGAGAATTCGCATTCTCTATGTGATGAAAATATCAATTCTTTCTCGGTTTATTCAACAAAAAACAACTACTTTCCTGGCTATATGCCACGACGAACATTGAATTACATCTATTGAACATACACGATAAGAATTTTAAAACAGAATCTTCTGGAGTAGAGAATTTGCATTCTCTTTCATAAAAGCACAGAATATAATTCTGAATATTCAAAAGACGGTGTATCGTCTGATACCATTGGCATCAATTCCGGCGTTCCACAAGGATCAATTTTGACACCAACATTATTCCTTCTTCATATCAATGATCTGTTGGGAGTGACAACTTGCCCCATCCACAGCTTTGCAGATGATAGTACCCCCCATACTGCGTTCTCTTCCAGAATTCCCATTTCTTTCCAGGAAACTCAGAACTCACGGCGCAGGCAGCTCAATGCTGTCAATGAAGACCTTGCTGAAATCACAGCCTGGGGAACCAACAACCTAGTTTAATTCAACGCCACCAAAACTCAAGCCTGTATTTTCTCTAGAAAGGCGGAACTCAATATACCCGATATTGTAATGTCTGGCACCACCATCCCCACCAAGCCCACCATATCTATGCTCGGTATTTCCATCAGTAACACTCTTTCATGGGATAATCATGTCAGATCCATCGCAAAAGCTGCTTCACAAAAACTCGGATACTTGTTCCGTGCGAAAAGCTACTTTACACCTCAACAGCTTCTCATGATCTACAAAGCGCAGATACGGCCTGTTCTAGAATACTGTTCCCATATATGGGGTTCAGCACCAAAACATACGCTGATGCTCTTAGATTCCATCCAGAGAAGAGCCATTCGCCTGGTGGGTGACGCCACACTCACTCACTTTTTGACATCATTGGAACACCGTAGAAAGGTCGGCGACCTTTCACTTTTCCATCGATACTTCCACGGGAAATGTTCTTCGGGAATCTCTGCTATCATCCCTTCACTTGCAATACCAGTCAGATGAACTAGACAAGCCCAGTCAGCACATCCTTTCGTAGTCAACTTTGAAAGATGTCGAACAGCACTTTATCAAAACTCCTCCATCCATAGAACGGCTAGGCTCTAGAATTCAAAAAGTTTCCACAACATATAATCTCCAGAAGTTCAAAAAAATTCCAATACCTACCTTCTGTCACTATCCTCCTTAGGAACGCACGATGTTCTTTGAACATTATAGGGATTTCCTTTCGTGCGCTCCAAGCAATAAAAAAAACAACAACTTTCCTGGCTATTTGCACGTCGAACATTGATCTGTTGAACATCCAAAAAGAGAGCTTGAAAAATGAAAATCCTCTGAAATTGAGAACTGACTTCATCTCTCAAATCGGATAAAATAATATGATTTATTATAATATAAAAATATAACAAACTACTAATACTACTACTAATACTTGTATAAACTTGGATCTTGATGAGCTTGGAACTTCAAAAAAAAAATCATTCGTATCAGTGATATAGGAATTATATCTCTCACAAACAGGTTATATGACTTCATTCAATCATTCAAATAAATTCATTTCGGATATCAAATCCTCATCAGTAACCTGAAGTCCACTTATTCTTTCAGCCATTTTTCATGAAAGAATAACTGTTCGTCGTGACATATAGCCAGGAAAGTAGTTGTTTTCTGTTGAATAAACTGAGAAAGAATTGATATTTTCATCACATAGATAGAGAATGCGAATTATGAATATATTTCTTGATATATATCCATTTTTATATGTTCATAATTATATCTGAGAATATTCCTTTTCAATTCTTCCACCCAATCAAAGTGTTCAAACTTGAACGACGGACATTTGTTATTTTTATCTACTTCAATCGCAGATTCGTGATAAGGCTCTCTCGATTCAGAATTTCCTTACACGTCCTGTATGATGAATAAAAATTTATCATACATAAAAAAAATGATATTCGATTTTCTCGATGAATATGTGGTCAGGATAACGTTTTCGACTTTCCTTCATAACATTATAGCGAATAAGGGACAAATTTTACGATACTGCGAAGACTCATTCCGCGAATTAATATTTCATCTTTGCATGGCACATTGAAGATTCATAAATCCAACCATGCACGAAACAACTTATTCATTTAACAGCAGAATAATGCTCCCCTAACCTGCGCATGCACGTGATTCGAAAAAATTGCCGTGAAAACATTAATGTGTTGTCTCTGAAGAACACAGTAAAACTGGCACTCAATATGCGAGTGAAAACTTTGATAACTCACCTGATATTTTTCCGAAACTTGAAAAACAGGTATTCCATTCCATAAATCATAAAGCATCAGCGTTACATAAAACCGGTTTAGAACTCTTTCTGGTATGTTCTGAAATGAAAGGTCATTTAATAAAATAATTGTACTGTAACATATCTATTAATAGGTATACCTTTATTGAATTGTTTGACAACATTTTAACGGCTACTGATTCGTTGAGACCCAATGTTCTTGCCACCTTGACTTCATTCAATTTCAGGTGAGAGAACTAAAAATAGTCATTCACCTAAATTCAACATAACATGGAAAATTATTCTTGTAATAGAAAACGGAAGTGGATTCGTTCCCTAAACGTCTAAATGAAATGAGTAGAAATTTAGTATTCATTAAATAATACCTTTATTCCACTTCATCTGCAAATATTATTCAAACAAGGTGTTTTTGTGTATCGAATGAATTTCTTTTTTAGGTTTATACTACTGCACTTTCGGAGTCCTTGTTACGAATACATGAAATTAAATTTCATATTTATTATATTGAATCGAAGGAATAAAATCCCAAAAATTTGGATTAATTACTATTCCAGTTCCTTGTGATTGAATAGGTGAAACAGAAATTCCAGATACCACAATGATAAAAACCTATTAATCATCACGCTTGGAATGGATACATAGATACCTCATTTTTCAAAAAGACCATCAGCTTGGAAACCCTGGTTCAACAACTGTTCCAAAGTTGTTTCATTGAATCAAACAGCCTACCATCGCTGGCGCAAGGACCCTAAGCTCTTGGCTAGAACAGAATATGTTGAAGCAAGGAATAACTGCAGCCAAAAAATAGATGCATTAGACTTATAGATTGTCCCAATGACTCCCCTTCATTTTGGTCGCTCGCTAAAGCAGTCGGAGCCCTCTGGATCTCACAACTTGTAAGTATAGGAAAGGTGAACCCGAGGTACCCTAGCCGGACCCTAACCTCTTGGCTAGAACAGAATATGTTGAAGCAAGGAATAACTGCAGCCAAACAACAGATGCATCAGACCTATAGATTGTCCCAATGACTCCCCTTCATTCTGGTCGATCGCTAAAGCAGTCGGAGCACTCTGGATCTCACAACTTGTAAGTATAGGAAAGGTGAACCCGAGGTACCCTAGCCGGACCCTAACCTCTTGGCTAGAACAGAATATGTTGAAGCAAGGAATAACTGCAGCCAAACAACAGATGCATCAGACCTATAGATTGTCCCAATGACTCCCCTTCATTCTGGTCGCTTGCTAAAGCAGTCGGAGCACTCTGGATCTCACAACTTGTAAGTATAGGAAAGGTGAACCCGAGGTACCCTAGCCGGATATTCACCAAAATTCAACTTGTCTTAGGTGATATCCTCTTCTCCCGTCCTTTTTCAATCTATCCTATCGGCCTTCCTTGGCCAACTTCTCTTTTCCTCTTCCCCTTCAAGCCCAACCTCACCATCAAGTGGTGTGGGAGGACAGATCGCGGCCGCTCGACAGATGAAGCATTTTCAGACCATCTTTGCTATCTCCGGGCCAGATGGGACAATTATTTGTGGGCATCTTTGGCAAGGATGGGGCGATTTGCTGATATCTGTCTAGGTGGCCAAGGAATGGTCAACGAGGCTCTGACAACCTAATCCAAGCTGTGGGAACTCGTGGCATGGATTAATGGCACCGAGGTATGGTGTCGCTAACGGGGCCTCTGGGAAACAGGGCGAATCTCAGAGTAAACAACCTAAGCCCTGTGCCCCCTTCCCCCGTTACTCGTATCGGAAGAGTAATCTTCACGAACCTGAACAAAAAGGGTCTTTCATATTGAAGTGGCCCTTGATGAGCACCATGATTAGTGGGTATACCCTGGAGTCAGGAGAGTCCGACACTATCAAATGGGAAATTAGACCCAAATGATGTCGATAAAGGATTTCAACCACGACGAAAAAAAAAACATTCGGAAGGAATTTCACAAATGGTTCATTTAATACATTCTCCAAAGCCGACGGCACATTATCAACAACACCACAAGAGAAAGCGAACATTTTTGCAGAGATATTAGCAGCAAACAACACCTTGGATTATCAGGGAAGAGTGCCACCAGACATTCCACCCGTTGAAAGTAGAATGTCCGAAATTGTCTTTCCTCAACGCACTATAAGAAGCATTCTGCTCGATCTCAGAACGAAGTTCAATGATCTTGATGAAATTCCACCCATTATTCTCAAAAAGTGTACACCAGAATTGACACCCATTCTCTGCAAGCTATTTACCATCTCATACAAGTTGGAAAATAGCTAGTGTCCAAACAATCCCCAAAATAGGAAACAAGAACCTGCCCAACATTGATAGGCCAATTGCCCTGTTATCAGTCATCTCCAAAGTGATGGGGAAAGCCAACAACATTAAGCTCAACAAAAATATGATAAAATGATATATAATCTATAAACTTGCTTCGGAATCATTCAAAGTATTTGCAGAAGCTGAGGAGTTCATTATGAATTATCACAACTTATTTGGTATCAATCTTTTTTTAGCTTTACACGTATCGGGAACGAATCTGCTTCCCGTTTTCAACATAAAAATGGAAAAATTATTCTTGACAAATTGTATACGGATTCCTGTATTGACCCTTCTCAGTGGCAGAATTTGATACAGACAAGTGAGTTGGAGGATGTTTTTTTCAATCATTGAGCTTGAATTTACCAATCAAAATTGAGATTTTCAGTAGTGAATACCATATTCTATTTATATCAACTGAGCTAGAAGCAATGACCTCGTCTCCGTTCAGAAGGTATCAGGTTTATTATCAGCAATATTATTAATATTATCATAATTATTTCGTTGGTTAGTTAGGTATTATGTTCACTATCATCAATATCACAATTATCATTCCCGAGATGAGCCTTAGAAAGAAAAATAGGTTCTTTTGAATTTCAATCATTTATCTCCTGTTAAACTTTGTTTATATCAGGGTTAGTGAAATACGAAAGTTTTCAGATACTCTGAATACTCATGAATCTTTTTCCGAGGTTTGAAGTCGTCCATAATAACTGAAAGAAGCGTTTCATGCGTCTGATGAGTTGGATTTGAATATATCTTACCACTTCATAATATATTTGCATATTCGGCTTGATTCGTTCTGCAGTATCATATGGAGTGACTAAATAAAGCAAATGTAAATGACCTTGAAGAACAAGGCAAGATTGAGCTTGGTAAAGGTCTTCATACAATAAATGAGCTCTGGAAAGTTCTAAACCCCCTGAAACAACATCAAAATATTTCAGATCCTAAATATTGAAGAATATCCACTAAGAATATGTGAATCATTCTGCTCATAAAAAATGCATAGATTGTTTTGTACAGTATCACCAGTACTGGGTTGTTTCATAATTGAAATCCCAAATAATGCAGAAGGCTCCTTAACAGTGTGAGTAAAGTCAAATATCTCTTTTCACATAATCGATCCAGAAAGATTCCAATCAGAAGTTTTATGATATACATAAATCCATATTTAAAAATATAAATATAAAAGGAGAAATCATAAAAGTAATACAAATCCTGGAATATCATCTAGGTACTATCTATTTATTTGAATTGGATTGTATATTCTTAACCTACAGACTGTATTTTACAAAGTCAGTTGAGACACTTTCGTTCTTAAAGATTTTATGAGGATTCATCAATCAACTTCATTGTAATAGAAATAAATGAAATATTTTCTATTGAGCTTTCAAGGTATGCCAGTGTCGAGTAAGAAATCGTTCGAGGCCGCATTTCATTGGATACCATTGATTATACTCAATGTGGATAAGTCAGAGTTTGCTTACTGGACGCAAGTTTTCCTTAAGTTTGATGATGCTTTCAAAGAACTCATTCGTCGAATTGTGTATGAATTTCATGAAGAGAATATAAGGTGTCAACATTGGAAAATATTGAGGATAAGTTGAAACAATACCCGAATTATGATTATAAATCGTTAGGTACTTTGCGGAATGTTTACTGGACTGCGGGTTCAGCTATAACAAACCAAACAAAATAATGGTGATTATGGAATCAAGACGCATCGTGAAACTTTGACAAGATTATCTAGGTAAAATAAAGGGATACCGTGAAGCGAATAGACATATAGTTTATCTAGACGAGACGTGGTTCAACACTCATGCATGAAGTTACTCAATATAAGGATGGGTAGATGACAGCAAAATATGTAACTAAAATTTTGAAAGAATATTCCTCCACGAAGACAATGAAAATGAGTTTTTTGATAGTGCATTATTGTTATCTACCAAAAATATTAAGCAAGCTCTGCCAATTATCACGCGGATATGACCGCAGAACTATTTGAGAAAAGGTCAGAGCAGCAGCTTTCACCAAATATCCCAGCAGATTCAGTGATCATTATAGACTATGTACACGCCTATGCTACTTTTCGGAGGGCTCATGTGACCCAGCATGAATTATATTCAGAATTATAGTACCATACGAAACAACTCTTTTAGGCACTGTGCCGTCAGTTGGGAGCGGTGCATGTGAGTAGAGTGTTGAATGAAACTTTCCATCGTGAGATGGATATGTAGACAAATTATTCCTGAACGACATTTCTAAAGTTGACAGATCATTGAAATTTAATCAAGTAGAACTTCATGACGTACAAAAATATAGGTACTGAAAGCAAGATTTTTTTCCCGAAAATTTTTGCCCCCATTATAGGTGACTTGATATTGTATGGCGTTTGGAAAATTCAATTTTTCAGCAACGCCGTACACATTTGCCGATACAGGGGAGAGAAACCCCGCACGCAACTAACTAGTATGGTTGGGATCATTTAATACAGCACCAAATTCAATGATCTCATCAGAATTTCATAAGACGATGTCATTTTTAGTTATGCCGTACATCCTTCATGGAACATGAACTGAACATGACTGTCTCAAGAAAATTTATTTCTTCCGGAAATATGTAATTTTACGGTCATTTTATTTTTTACGGCATGAAAATATTTAATATGTAAATATAACAATATACAATAAGAACTATATACCGTGCAAAACATAGTTCTAGTACAGTGTGTTGCACTTCATTGGCGACAATCAACTATTTTATCAGGGTCGGCCGATTTCCGGAAAAAAAATTGTTGATATAGTAGGTACTTCGAAAGCTGGTATGCATTATTTCAAAATTTGCCTTCTCTATAGCCTACTACTATGAAAAATAATACTCCAAAAATTACGGAAGCATGTTAGGCATATTTTTACAAAAAAAAACGAATACATCTATCGATTAAGGCACATCTGGAACCCACAAATATCAAGTTTCAATGGCAATAATCCCAGCGAGTGTTCAGAACTTGAGTTAAAAATATTAAAAATCTATAATATCGTTAGTGTCATGTGTGAACGCTTCTGAATGTCTTGCAAATATTAGAGTGCAATGGTTTAAGAGTCACCTAGTGTATCAATTCATACATCATTCGCATATTAGATACAGATACAGAGTACTCATCATAAATACGATGAAAATCATCCCGGAAAATAAGTTAATTTCGAATTACCGCTTCTTATTTGTAGAAAATAATGCATCGTTTTTATTTCGATTCAAATCGATTCTGATGAAATGTATTCAGTTCTTAGATTGACTAATACAAAAAACAAGAGAATATACAAATTAAGCACAATGCATTATTTCCTGCAAACTATAAGCAAGAATTGAGAACCGACTTATAATAAAAATAAATAAAAAACTACTTTGTATGGTATTTAAAAGTACCTTCCGAATTACATTTGACAGCCCTGTGTACCTATTGAATACTTCATTTCAATTCTTAATTGAATAATATATAGAAACATATTTCGGCAGTGACATATTTATTTTTTGTTATCTCACGACACCATTCTTCTCTACCTAAACCTCTTGATATAAAATCAGTATCAATTTATCAATACAAGGTGACCTATAATAAATTGATAATCAACAAAATATGACCGATCCCTACATAACTCCCCCCTCAGAGATAGCGTTAATAGCAAAAGTTCCTTTTTTTTATTTGTAGTGGTGGGTAAAATGAAACTAGAATCACTCTCTATGGAGACAGTCTTAATGTTACCATCGACATTTTTATAGTCAAAGTTTTTTCGAACCGACTTACAACTACGAATGGTCCCTCATATGGGGATTGAAGAGTTATAATTTGTCTATCATTGTCTACCTACATGATTTGAAATCTTCATGAACAGAAATATTTGATCTTCAACATCTTGGACTAGTCATCTGAATTGTCAGTTGTTAAAGTTAGTGGAATACCAAAACGAGACATTTATTGATGAATGAATGTTTTAGGCACAGTACTCGCAGAAGTAAGGATATGCCTCAGATACATCTAGTGAAACGATCAACGATTGTTGAAAGATGAGTACATCCATTTGATGGTGGAAATGGGCCAACAATATCAATATGGATGTGCTCGAACCCAGTTGTGTTTGCAGGGAATTTACCAATTTCAGCTCTTGTTTTTCTACGTACATTAGATTTCTCCTGATTTAGTATTCACTCCAAAAATGTATATCTTTGTTCATTGAAGGCCAAAAATACTTAGAAGTTATACGTTTTCGAGGTGACCTAATGCTACGATGAGATATCGAATGGAGAGAATCGAGGGAGATTTTGAGGCTAATGGCCGACTTCTATTTGAAAATATATCACTCCAAAAACTTTCATCACAAAGTGGCACCTTTACCTGAACAAAGAATCCTGATTTACATTGAAAAAGCAACCCTTCAAGTTAAGAATCTGATGATTGAGCATCAAATAAAATGTTGATATCTAATTTTTTGGCATTTATTTCACTTAGACTAGATAAGGTATCAGCAACAATGTTTTGCTGACCTTTATTCAATGTACTGAATATCAGTGGTGAATTGAACAATAAAATCTGATTGCCTAAATTGCTTGGAATTTCTTTCTGTCTTTGTGAAAATTACTTTAGTCAGTGACCTGTGAAAAGTTTAAAATCAGTACCTTCCCAGAAAGATCTGAAATGTTTTATGAATAAATAGATAGCTAATAATTCTCTGTCGAAAGTTGAATAATAATTTATCCCACTGATTGTTATGATGATATATTTTTTGCAAAATTGTGCCAATAGCACTGAGATGCTGATTTTCGCATTAATTCTTGGATGTACCAAAATAGTAGCCGTTGAAATTGGTTTTTTTTTATTTTCTAAGGCCTAGTTGCATTCTGTAGTCCACTCAAAATATTTTTTGTCATTTAAACAAGATTTCGTTATATTATAAATAGGAATCAGCAATAGGCGAGAACACAATAGCACGAATTCAGTTCAAATGTGCATAATAAATAAATATAACATTGAAATAATGTGTACCAGTAGTTTTTTCAACAATAAATGCTGTCATTATCCAAAGAACGCGTTTGCAAAACCATACAAATTTGTGGACCATTCAAAAAACCAATAATGGCGGATACGTGATGACGTAACAAGTATTGGCGTGCATTTGGCAACGCTGTACTGTACCTTCAAAATATTCTACATATTTCCTAACCTAAGAAACCGAACTCCTAAACATCAGAGTTTTTCTTTGATTTTTCATTTGCTTAATATTTTCTTGTGTAATCAAAATATTCAAATCATTGTGACTATTATTGTGACATAGTCTGATGGTTCATGTTTATTGATTGGAGATATGAAGCCAGTATTCGAAAAAGCAATCACAATCTTCCAGTAGTTGATTCAACTATGGTTTTTGAATTCTGCAAGTTAAAAAAAACTGGCATGAGCTGTTTCATAAAGGTGAAGATTAGTCCAGAACATAAAGTTCGTCCTAAACCATAAAGGGTTGAGGCTGAGGTTCATGAAGCTGAAGAAACTGTAGTCTGGATTGTGCAGTTTCAAAAGGTAAAAGGTACATAAATTCTTGACTTTTTTATAAACTATATTCTTTTATATTCTTAGGTAGATGTAAACACAGTGTGGCTTTCTTATTATGGTTACATGGAAGATCAGAAGAACCCTCTGTACCTTCTATGGAGTGTTACTGAAAAGTGTCCAACTCAGTGTCCAAACTACCAAATTTTTGAGCTTCCTATCAACATTCATGCCACTTGTAGAATTAGCACCAAAACAAGTTCCTACCCTCCCAGTGGTTCCATCAAAATTTCTTGAAGTAGTTTTTCAAGTAGATGGAAAACATGGATGCCAAGGATAACTGTTTTTGAAAGAGTTTGATTCTGATTCATAAGCTA